ACTTCTGCCTGAGTGGTTTGCATTCCCGGAAACAATTCCCTCCTGATACATACAAGTTCTACCAACACAACTAAGGTCAGGTGATGGGGCAGGGAGCTTCCTGGCTGATGCTCTCATTCCACATCAGGGCGTCTCTCCCCTTAGCTCTCAGGGTCCAGCAGGGTCCAGCTCCCTGTTCCTGTCCGTGGATGCTTAACAATGGGGACATCCATTTCTTCTGTGAAACTTGCACACTCACCCCACACGGTCCAAGGACACACAATCACTGTGTTTCTTCAACTCTGGGGACATCAGGAATCCAGTCAAACTCTTTTTAGAGAAAATATTTTCCTTAGCTTTCGGGGCACTGTTGAGATGAAGATGCAGTTCATTTGCACGACCAAACATTTGGTCTGTGGACCAGCATTTGGTTTCACGATGACCTTACAGTTTCCCCCCAGAACACTGCCTGGGTCCTGCCTTCCCATGACTAAAGTGCCCATCGGGTGAATTTCCTAAAAACAAAGGGCATCTTCAGAATAAGGTAATCAGCGTCTTTCCACCCAGAAACCAGAACTGCCAACGAGCCCTAAGCACAGCTCCCTCGCTAAAATTTAAAAACGAATCACATCCCTTTCCCCCACCAACCCCCAAGGTGGTGTGAATGTGTCAAGTGGCACAGATGTTTTATTTCAGGGGTTGCAAACTCACAGCTGCGCTCCATCTGGCTCACAGGAGTGATTTCTTTGGCTCACAACTGATAATCTTCCTTAAAGTTGTAAATTGGTTGCCGACATTTCATCAGGACATTTTAAATAAAAATCTGGATTTCTAGGGGCTGGCCCCGTAGCCGAGTGGTTAAGTTCGCGCACTCCGCTGCAGGCGGCCCAGTGTTTCGTTGGTTCGAATCCTGGGCGTGGACATGGCACTGCTCATCAAACCACACTGAGGCAGCGTCCCACGTGCCACAACTAGAAGGACCCACAACGAAGCATATACAACTATGTACCAGGGGGCTTTGGGGAGAAAAAGGAAAAAAATAAAACATTTAAAAAAAAAATCTGGATTTCTAGCTTCTGTTGAGAAAGCCTGAAGATCATGCGTTACAGAGCTTGCCTTCACGCATGTGCGTCCACAAGCTGGAGGGGTTGGAGATTCCCCTCTGCGGACAAGGCACCCACTCTCCAGCTCCCTGGTGCCCGGCCCTCTCATTGTCTCTCCCTGTCCCTGTGTGTCAGTTACGCGGCATCCTTGACCTGTGTCCTTGCTGTCTTACACCCGCCCGCTTCATACGTTTGCATTGCTTGTCTGGCGTCTGTGGACTCGACTCTGCAGCCTTGTTTCAGGGTTTCGGATACTTGTGACCAACTTTTATAGAAAGGAGGCAGTCATTTTCTTGAGCAACTTGGTAGCCTCCCACCTTGATGTTATTTCACTTTGATTTAATGGGGAATTATTGAGCACTTGCAGTGTGCCAAGGCTAGAAGAAGCTGGGACAGTGGGAAATCAAGCTGATGACAGGGTTGTCAGGGAGTAGACACCTGGAAGCTGAAGCCTGGGTGTGGGAGAATTTGCCAAGGGAGGGTACACAGTGCCCAGTGCTGCTTAAATAAAGGTCAATTAAGATAAGGCCAACGAGCACTCCCAGTGGCTTCCTGTCAGGGGCGATAGCAGGTTTCTGGGGATGATGGGAGAGAAAGCCAGATGGCGGTGTGCTGAGAGGTGAGTGGATGGTGAAGATGCAGAAGCAGCGAGTGTGGACAACAGCCCTGAAAGGTGTGCCTCTGAAGGAAGGCATGAGAGGGCCAGTCACCGGGGTCTAGACCGTTCTTAGAGGGCTTAAGGGGGAGGGATGTTTACAGGTGAAGAGGAAAGAGGCAGGGAGAGTGAGTTGTGGCCACTGATGCCGTGAGATGCCTGGGAGCTTGGGGAGGCAGGAATGGAGGACAGACAGAGAATTAGCTCTGAAATGGAGTTGGGGGCAAGACCTGAATTCCATGGGATGGAGATGAGGGCAGGTGCACCGAAGAGTGCAGATGGAGGAGAAGGGGGGGGAAAATCCTTTCTCTTTAAAGCATCAGCTCGATCCAGAGGTCTCTGAGGCCTCCTCGAAACTAGGACTATCACATCCTTGGCACCTGATAAGGGAGTGTTACGGGCTGAATTTTGTTCCCCTTCCCAAATTGGGTGTGGAATTCCCAACCCCCAATACCTGCATTTGGAGACAGGGTCTTTAGAGAGGTACTTAAGGTTAAACGAGGTCATAAGAGTGGGGCCCCAACCCAACAGGACTGGTGTCCTTACAAGAGGAAGAGACACCAGGGATGTGTGCACGCAGAGAAAAGGTCACGTGAGGACACGGCGGGAAGGCGGCCATTTGCCACCAAGGAGAGCAGGCTCTGGAAACCAAATCTGCCCACACCTTGATCTTGGACTTCCAGCCTCCAGAACTGTGAGAGGACAAAGTCCTGTCGGCTAAGCCACTCCATCTGTGGCATTTTGTTACGGTGGCCCGAGCTGACCAATACACGGAGGAAGAGAAGGGGAGGAGAAAAAGAGGCACGGGCTTTATGTTGAAGTCACCAGCATCTGTGGCCTTGGAATGCCGAGATATATACAATCATGTTAAGCAAAGAAAAAAAGAAGCTATTTTCACTCAAAGGATGGGCTTTGATGTAAGACAGACCTGAGTTTTCCATCCGGCACGTCGCAGAACCTTCCTGAATTTCCGACTTTATTTGTAAAAAGGAGATAACAAAACCCACCTCCGAGGGTCGCTGTGAAAGGAGAATGAAATGAAACGTGGACAACATTGAGCACGCTACCCGGGAGACAGCCGATGGGACGAGGAAAGGCAGAGGGTCACTAGGCTACGTTGTTTTGTTAGCGCGACTGAGCCAGAAATAAATTCCCAGGGCATAAGGGCTTGCATTCACAGCTTGTCATTTGGTGAGGAACGTGGGGGCATATGGCGCACACATATTCGCTCAAATCTAGGGCTCTGGACTGACTCGGGTGTAGAAGCATCATGAAAGATAACCCTAGGAAACCAAACTCAGAGAGGCTGACCTGTAAGATGTTTGCACCCAGCATTATGCCTGGCACATAGTAGGCAGTCAGAAAAGTGTTGGCGAATGCATTTATGAATGAAGAGAGCTCGCTGACGATGTTAAAAGACTGAACATCTATAACCACCTGTTGACGGGCGTATTAGTCAACTTTCTTAATGTTGCAAGTGACAGAAACCCATTCAAATCAGCCTAAGCCAAAAAATTAAAATAAATTTTAAAAGTTTACAAATGGAGGGGGAATTTGTTGGCTTAGAAACTGACAAGTCCAGGGGCTGGCCGTGTTGCCGAGTGGTTAAGTTCGGGCACTCTGCTTCGGTGGCCCAGGGTTTCGCCAGTTCGAATCCTGGGTGTGGACATGGCACTGCTCCTCAAGCCATGCTGTAGAGGCATCCCACATGCCACAACTGGAATGACCCGCAACTAAAAATACACAACTATGTACCCAGGGCTTTGGGAGAAAAAGGAAAAATAAAAAAAATCTTTACAAAAAAAAAAAGAAACTGACAAGTCCAAATGTCTGCTTCAGGCACGGTTGGATCCAGGGACAAAGAGATGTATGGAGAGGTCTTCTCTTCTCTTCTCCCCTCCTGTATTGGCTTCACATTCAGGCAAGTGCCCTCCACGTGGTAGTCCTGGCAGCTCCCTCTGAGCCTCCACCCTTTATACACCCAGCAATTCATCCAGAAGAAAGGGAGCCTCCCTTTCTAAACAGTTCTAACTTGATTCTTGAATTGACTCTGAGTCACCCAGCCAGAGTCATGAGACCATCCTTATCCAATCAGCACACTCCAGGGCCTGGGAGGAGGGGAGGGATAATTTCCAAAAGGAAGAACAGGGAGCTTTCCCCAACAGAAGGGAGACTGGTTGTTAGGCAGGCACTGCCCTCTGGACTGAGTGCATCTGGAGAGGAGTCCAGTAACTCACGGGTGACTAGGGAAGCGAGAGTGAAAAGCATGCCACCTGAAGGACACATGAGGACGGGGAATCAGAGCTGTGCTGGGTCCAGGCAGGCCCGGGGCCTCTGAGGAGTTTAAGGAGGCTGCGATCTGCACCAGGGTGCCCGGCCAAGGAGGCATGTTACGGTAGACCGATTGCCAAAATGGCCCTGATTCTCCGCCGGACCCTGAATCTACACTCTCTGCAATGTGGTTTTGCAGCACCTCTCATCAAGAGTGGAGCCTATTTCCACTCCTCGAGAATCTGGGCTGGCCTTGTCACTTGTTTTGACTATAGAATGTGGCAGAAGGGATGGTGTGCCAGTTCTGAGCTTAGGCCTCAAGGGGTCTTCTGTGGTTTACTGATTCTCTGGGACCTCCGCCTCTGCCATGTGAACCATCCTGGCTATCTGGCTGGAGGATGAGAGGCCACATGAAGCCATCCCAGCTGTCCCAGCCAAGGCCCCAGACGTGGGAGAGAGAGCCCGACACTACTGGCAAAGCCGCCTAGACTCAGGGGAGACTGTAGATATCCAAGTGAGTCCACTGGGGCCAGCTCAGATCAGAACCACCCAGATCAGAGCTGCTCATAGACCCACGAGCAGTAGTGGCTGCCATTTTAAGTCACTGAGTTTTGGGACAGTTTGTTACACAGCATCGTGTGGCAAGCAGATAACAGCTACAAGGCATGATAGGGAGAGAAGCCAGCTAGTGCCTGGCTTGCCAACTTGTGCCCCCTGGCACCGGGCTGGATCTCCTTGGAGAGGGTGTGTGTCTCCAACTTGCAGGAAAATGCCATATGAGCTATCAAGGGCTGGAAGATGGCCCGTTCACAGCCTGGCAGAGTCTATAAACTCTACGGATCTCACACGGGGATTTTAATCACCTTCTGACATGTTTTTCAGAGACACAGGCTTTGGGAATTCATGGAAATGACCTAGCTTGAACTGCAGGGGACAAATGTACACTACAAGCTGTATCTGGGCACATCCCCCCCTCCCCACTGAATTACACATTTTGGTTTAGCCAGTTTTATAGGGTGGCTGTGAGTGGGGAACAAGGAAAGAACATACATGGCCTCAAAGCGGGGTCTGTGGGAGACCGGGAAGGCCTGAATGGGTCCCAAATACCACGCAGGCGCAACATTAGCCATTCGACTGTAGTGGGAGAAAAAGAATCCAAGAGACGAGCCTAAAGCCCATTTCAGACTTCTCTGGAAGAAAGTTAAGGAAAGAGATAATGGAAGCTGCCTGGCGCCCAGCGTTGCCAATTGGAGAATGGAACGGATGAGACGCGTCAGCACAACCTCCCTGCCCACAGCACCCTCTGCTCCCAGAATCCAGGTAACCTCCTCCTCTACCCCAGTCCTCACCAGGGGCTCCACACACTGAGCCTCTGGAATCCCAACTGTGTCCCGGATTGAGTCATCTGCCCCCTTAGCCTGTGCCACTCACCCAACCTGCTCCAGGGAACATCACCACCCATCCCCCACCTAAACATCTCTCTGTTCTCTCTGCCCCACCTCGATGACCCCTATCCCACTCCGGGACTCCCCACTTCTGAACTGGATCTAAGTTTGTCCACTGGATAGAAACCTCAGTTCTGCAGTCCGACGGAGAGTTTTCCTAGCCCTTCCCTACATCCCTGCCTGGCTTCTCTCCCGCCTGTCGCCGTTCTGGGCTGCAGCCAACAGCAGTTTCTTCCAGCTTGCAAGACGCAGGCTCGGGGCGGTGCGCGCGCCCCCAGGTCCCTGTACCTGGGGCTCTCCTTCCTGCCTGCCTTCTTCCGAGCAGCCCCAGGAGGCCCGGGCTGGGTGAGGGACCTCCAGGCCTCATGCCCACTGGTGCGGCAGTTCAAGGGGGTCTGCTCCTTCTCCAGGGTCCGTGCTCCGGGAGGTCCTTGCTCCGTCCGCGAGGGCGTCCCCTGGGCCGTTCAGAGCAGGCTCAGAAAGGCAGTTCAGACATCCTTCCTCGGGGCCGGGCGCGCTCTGGCCAAGCCACCGAGGGGCGGACGCAGACGCTGCCCAGGGGCCGCGGCCACTTCGCAATCCCCGGCCGGTCACAGCGCCCGCTCCCCGGGACCCCGACGTCCGGAGCCAGCACTTGATCGAGGGCCCGGGCGCGCGGCAGGGGAGGCGCAGGAAGCCGGCGGAGCGATGGGGGAAGGCCGGGCCCAGGGCGCACGGGAGGCCGGCCTCGGGGTCCGCTCCGCCCCGAGCCCCAGCGCTCGGAGCCGGGAGGAGCGCCCGGGCGAGCCCCGCACCTCCGCGGGCGGGCGGCCGGAGCTCGCCGGCTGAGGTAGCTGGAGCCGCGGGCGCGGGGGGCGCGGCGGCGCAGGGTGGCCGAGGGCCCCGCGGGAGGCGCCAGGGGCGGGCGCGGGCCGGGCCTCGGGGGTCCGTCTCCGAGCTCGGGCCGCAGAGGGCGCGGGGCTGCCGCCGTCACCAGGCCAGGGGTGAGACCATCCCCGAGCTGCGCGTGCCCTCCCCGGCCTGCAGGTCGCTGAGCGCTCGCTGGGGAAGGAGGAGCACGTGCGCAGGGGCTTGATCAGCGGTCGCAAGGGGTCCCTGACACCCGCCCTGCCTCCTCTCCCCACCCAAAGAGCCGAGACCTACCGGCCCTGCCCCGGTTGGGGGGGGGGCGGGGCGCATCACTCGCTGGGGGCCCTTTCCCAACCCGGACTTGAGAAAGTTCCCCCTCTTTTGACCTCTGGCCGTGACCTCTCCTAAGGGGCCCCTTAGGCCTCCCACCGAGGCTCACCTCGAACTTGCTCATGAACTCCGCAAAGATGCCAAAGAAGGCCTCGGAGGTGGTGGCTTTGGAATCCTCGCCGAAGAAAGCCAGCGCCTTGCCCAGCTCCTCCATGGCTTCCCGCTGCAGCCCGTCCAGAGCCCGTAGCACTGGCTGGGCCGTCTCCAGGAAGGACTGACGGGCCTCCGTTAAGGAAACTGCAGGCCTTCAGGGTGCCCCCAGGTTCCCGGGCAGTGACCTCAGATAGCAGCCCTGCTGCCCCACTCCAGTCTGCCCCAGGCCCTTTGCTCAGCTGGCAACCATGCCCTGTTCAGAGGCTCTGGTCTGTGTGCCACTGCCGTCCAAGGTCCTGAAACCTGCCACTTGCAGTCCAGCCTCAGGCGTTTCACTGACTTCTCTCTCTGCAGGGCAGCTCTCTTCCCAGCTGGCTCTGCTCAGATGTCACCCACTCCTATTCCCCAACCATCCACTTACAGTAGCTCCCTGTCACTCTCTAGGCTTACTCTTTCTCCCTTTGTTTCTGTAGCATTTGTCACTATTTGTGCTCACTGAGAATGTTCTCTTCTCCTGACTGCCTTTGGCTGGCCAGGGCCTGACAGGCCTCTCCTTGTATCTTGTGACTTAGGTCTGTGCTCTGCCACCTATGAGGACAGATGGGGCAAGGCAGTGGCTTTAGGACAGTTGAAAGAGTGCCTCCTCAGTTGCACATAGACTTGGCATAAGTGCTTAGATTCTAAACAACCCAAGACGGACGCTCTTCCAGCACCCCCGGACGCACCGCAGCCTCTGCCCAGAATCTCTGCTGCGACTGAGACTGTTATGGTCTACAGTGGCCACCGGAGTCATAGCCAGCTACCTGACCACCCCAGGGTCCACTTGGGTACTGGGACAGGCTGCTCAGAGGATACCGCCATGACCACAGCAAACTTGTCCTCGCTGGAGGGGGACATGCTCTGGCAGGCGGCCTGTATCTCACTGATGGTGCCATGGAGGTCAGCCAGGTCGCTGGCCAGGGCCCGTTGGTTCACTGGAGAGAAGGGGACAGGAGTCTCACGGGGCCGCCCTCCAAGCCCAGGATGCCAGGGCCTCTGCCTCCCACCCGTCCACCCAGCCTACCTTTGGCAGCCAGGGGCACGGTGGGCAGGTCCTGAGCAAAGCCCAGGAGTTCGGGGAAGTGCTGGCTCAGGGATTTGGCAAGGATGTGCAGGAAGGTGGACTTCCCGTCCACCGTCTTGGTGGAGTTTAGCTGCAAGTGATCCCCAACATGTATCCTCCTCAAGGACCCCGTGAGATTCCTGGTCACATGGCCCAGGTACTCTTGGTCTTGCTTCTCCCGCACCACGGCATCCATTCTTGGCCCTTGACCCTCTCCAACTCCCAAGTTATAAATCAATTACTAGCATTCCTTCCTCGGAAGCTCTTATCTGTGGGATGCCATAGGCCTCCCCACAAGCTGAGGTTCCCTGGCCCACATCTTTGAGACCCCCCCCAGCTAGGGGAGGCCCCCCAGGTCTTCCTGTCCTTGTGAATTTGCCCTTGTCAGCAGGTACAGCCCAAGAGTCTCTCACCCCAGGGAAGGTGGGGAGCATCCCTCACAGATCTTCCCTCTTCTGGTTTTCTGGAACCATCTGTGGCCCACTGGAGCCTCAGACATCCTAAACCATTCATTTCTACAAATGAAGTTTTTCTTCCTCTTTTTTAAAACAACAAAAGGCACCCTGGGGAAAAGTCCCAGAAACACAGGGGGAAGGCTGGGTATTTGAGCTGTCCTCTTGTGGATCCTGGATCTTTTGGGGGTAGGACTGGCCTGACAGTGGTGGGGGTGTTGAGGGCACAGAATGTACCAAGTGGAGCTCCATCTCCACACACCCTCCCTCCAGCCCTTTGCTGTAGTCACATCCTGGCCTGCAGGCAGCCAGTTCTTCCTCCTGGAGGAAGGGCTCTCCTTGGTCACGATGTTCTCTCCCTCCCTCTGCCACGACTTGGGCTAGGCCTGGCCTCCCCATCCTCCACGGTAGACCAAGCTAATTGACTATTGCGGACTGGCCCCCTCACCTCCGTCAGGAAGTTGATCTTGAAGCCTGTGGTCTTGTTGGTTTTGGGCTGTCCATCGTTGAGATAGTTGCCCATGGCCAACACAAACTGTGGAGAGGAAGGTGGGCGGGTTCTGCCTAGGTCCTTACCCTGCTCCCCTAACCCCCTGGCCTATCAGGATGGGCCTCCAGACCGGAAGCCCCGGGGACAGAGAGGCAGGTACAGTGACCAGAGAGGGGGTGCGCCCTGACCTCCAGGATCTTGGCAAGCTTCCGGCTGTTCTTGAGCTCGAGGGAGGCCTGGCGCAAGCACTCCAGGCTGCCCCGGATCTCTTCTGTCTTCTCCTGTAGGGTGGCCTGGAAGTGGAGGCTGCGCAGGCGCGTCTTGTATTCAGGAACCGACAGCATCTGCCACGAAGGCAGGGCCAGGATTCGTGCATTCCCCCTACCTCCCCAGGAGACCCACTGCCCCACCGCAGCCTGGGGTGACGGTTAGCTGGCTGCCTGGGCCCCGTATTCCCTTAGGAAAAACAAGCATAACCTCTGGGGGGCACCCTTCCCATCTACCTTGGACCCCGGGCGGGAACTGGCCATTACAGGTGTAAAACTGGGGCTGAGAGTTGTGAGCGCGGGGGCGGTAGGGGAGCGAGACCCACGCAGCCCCCAGACATAGCGGGAGCCCGGATGGAGGCGGCCGGGCGGGGTCCCGGCCGCGGCACCTGCAGGACGAACTGGTCGGGCTCGCTGAGGCGGCCGGGCGCCTCGCGGAAGGCCTGGTAGCGCTGCTCCTCGTCGGCGTCGGGCGCGAAGAGCAGCAGCTGCGCCAGGTGCGCGGGCTCCAGGCGCCGGGGCTCCATGCTCATGAGCACCTGCCGCAGCTCGGCCGGGCTCAGCTTCAGGTGCGCCAGCAGGATGGCTGCGGGCGGGGCCGCCAGGTGAGCCGGGGGCGGGGCCCGGGCAGGAGTGGGCGGGGCTTCGGATTCACCTGGGCTATTGGGTGGAGCCTGAGGGGGCGGGGCAGGAGCCGGGCCAGAGATGGAGAGGGTCCCTCCCGCGACCCATCAAAGGGCGAGGGCGGGGTTCTGGAGGAGGTAGATCTAGAATTGAGAGGGGCCTGTGGGCGTGGGACCAAGGAACTAGGGAGGGGCCTGAGAGAGGGAAAGTAGAGGATGCGGCTGGAGGGGAGGCGGGAACTGGGGAGGCGATTACACAGTGATGGCGGAGCCAACAAGGTGGCGGAGCCAAGGCCGGCACCTGCGCCCAGGTGGGATGTGGCTGGCTGTGGGACCTGGGAGGGGGCCTTCGCCCAGCCAGGCAGCAGGTGTCAGGGCCCCCATGGCCTGATCTGTCATCCACCGGGGCAGATCCGAGGATCTGAGGCCCAGATGGAGGGCCGACTCCTGCCCCCCACCACCCCTGGACTCCCCAGCCCCTCACAGGTGTTGTAGGCCTTCTTATGGGACAGGATCTCCACCACCTCCTTCTTCCTGAACGGCTCAGGCCCGGGCACCGGCTCTGGAAGGGAAACTGATGCTTTAATGAGGGGAGGCTGGACTGAGGGCGCCATGGGAGGGCCCAGGAGGGGTGTGGCCACACCCAACAGCCTAGATGCCCCCTGACCAAGGCCTTGACTGAATCAGCTCCAGGTGTCCACACTCCCCTCACTCCTCAGCCTCCTACTCACGGACTTTCGGATCCAGTCTAACACACTCAGCATGCGTGGTGCCTGTCCCCCATCCTATCCTCTCTCCCCTGGGCCTTAGGACTGAGCTGGCCGAGTAAGGAGACCCAACCACCTCTCGACCTTTCAGATGCTTCCTGGATGGACACGGCCTTTCTCCTCCATCCCAGGACCACCTTCCACACACAGTATCCCTGGCTGCCTGGAGCCCCACCCAATGTAGAGAGGTACCCAGAGAGGGGTAAGGGGAGAAGAGACCAGAAGGGCTAAGATATCCACCTTATTCTGGCTGTGTGACTTTGAGTAAATTACCTAGCCTCTCTGTGCTTCCTCAGCAGTCAGTTGGGGTGATCACAGTCCCTACCTCACAGAGTCATCACAGGATTTGTTTAGAAGCAAGAGTGTCTGGCATCTGGTAAGCATGCGATAAATGCCAGCTATTATTATTATCTCCATTTTGAGATGGGGAAACTGAGGCTCTGAGAAGTTAGGGACAATGGCACTCAGTGCAGACCTCAGGGACCCCAAGCTCCCACAGAGGACCTGGTTTCTGGGCTTCCCCGGGGCTCTCAGCCACTCACTAGCAGGCTTCTGGGTGCCAAAGTGGAGCTCCAGGTCGAGGTATTTCACCATGTCGCTCAACTTGTCATAGTCAGAGTCCTCCCCGAGCTGCGAGGGAGTGGGGGAGGTTCAGAGTGAGGAGGAACGCTGGCAGCTGGAGTGCCGTCTCCACCCCACCACCCTCTAAGGGCTGCCCTGGCAGCTCCAGGAGGGAGGACCCCCATCAGGCCCCAGGATAAGCCCAGGGGCAGGAGGAGACGCAGAAGGACATCATCTAAGTTGTCAGGCGGTGAGCCAGCTCCTCTTGTGGTCAATACCACATTCACACCTGAAACACTCTCCGTGCAGAAGCCAGCAAGCTGTGCCGGGGCAGGGGAACAAGGGGCTATAAGGGACTGGAGCCAACCAAGGGGGCTTAAGGAGATGGCCGGGGGTCTGGCCCTGTTCCGAGGTGTCCTTTGCAGGGAGCCAGTTCTCCAGAGATGCCCTGGGTTCCTGACGCCGAGGGAAGGGAAGCAGGCAAATGTCCGGGGCTGGGAGCTGGACAGGTGGCTGTGACGAATGGTCTGGATGAGAGGTGACAATCTGGAAGGGCCCTAAGGGGCTCGGACAGGGAGTGAGGATGGAGTGGTTGCCAAGAAGGAGATCCCAAAGAGAGGGGAGGCAGAGAAACAGAGTCTCATAACACAGCTGCTGGGTGGGGACACCTGGTGTGGATTTGGACCTGGCGAGATGCGTGACCTGCATCCCTGTGTCCACCCTCAGTAACCAGTGGAAGGACCACTCTGTGGAGCAAGGCTTAAAGACCCATCTGAGGCTGGTAGGAGTGAGGTCTCCAGGGGCCCCAGTAGGTCCCTGTTTGTGGCTTTGCCCTGCTGAGCATCTTCATCAGCGACATGGAGATATGCACTGATGCCAACTTGGCTGGGAAGGCAGGAGACAGAACTGGGACCCAGGAGATGGCAATGGGAAGAAATGACAAGCATGTCCCACCAGAGTGTGGCTACATGTGAGGGCATGCTATTGGTCTCACGAAGATGAAGGGGGTTAAGGATGATGGTGGGCATAAGCACTGAGATGGAGCAGCCCCAGAAGCTGGAGAGATCCCAGGCCACATTAAAAGGAGTATCATGTCCAAGACAAAGGAGGTGAGAACACTGTTTTCTCTCCTGAGCTGGTTAAGCCCCACTAGGGGTTCCATTTGGGGCTTGCCCTTTGACAGAAACATGGCCACTGGACTGTGGGGCTAGAAACCACGCTCTAGGGAAATGATTTAAAGAACAGGGATGAGGCGAACCTTGCTCATCTGACAGACTGGTCGGTGTGTGGATAAGAAAGTATTTGCTCTGCCTGATTTCAAAGGACAGAACAGAAAGCAGGGCGTGGGAATCTTAGGGAGACAAGATTTCAGAGCAATACAAGGAGGGATGGGTAAAACTGTCCAGTGAGGAAAGGGATGCCTGGACAGATAGTGAGTTCCCCATCACTGGGGGTGTTCAAGTATATATTGGCAGTGTTGTTTGGGAGGGAATTCAAGCATCTAAGTGGACGGGTGGAGGCTGGTGTGTAGGGGTTTGGACCAGCTGTCCTTTTAAGAATCCTTCAGTCTTGCCTCCTGGGAATTAACTACTCACACTAGAATGTCCGACAGTTTGAGGACCTGTGATTCTCTAACCAGATGTCCTTCTCTTGGCTCCAAGAGCCAAGGGGAACTAGTCAGACCTCAAGAGTGAGGTTTCAAGGTTGAGTTAGTGCCATATCTGGGGGTCCCCATCGTGTCACTGGCTTAGGGACACAGATTGGGCTTTGATGCCAGCATCAACCACCGAGCTGGACGTGTCCCTGGGCTGGGCCTCCATTCATCTTCTGTTCAGGGGTGGGAGAGCCAGGGGACATTCCAGCTGATGATGGAAGAGGCCTGGAGATGAGTCTTGTCTTCAATGCTGCTGCCCAGGCCACCCACCCCTCGTGCTGGGCACCCCTGGGCCCCGGGTCACCTACCTGACCCCAGATGGTGCCTTCTGAGTTCTCCACCTGCTCCCACCGCAGGCGCTTGACGCTCATGTGGCTGGTCTCACTGCGGCGGTGGCCCAGGCCCCGGGACAGCATGGGGGGTGCACAGGGCACGGGTGGGGGTAGGGGGGGTGGGGGCGGTGGAGGGACTGGGTGGCTGTGTTGGGTGAGGGGCTTGGCTAGCGCCTGAGCGGGGCCCCGGGCACCGTCAGGGGTGCGCGAGCTGGGCTTGGGGTCATGGAAGGGCAGGGGCGGCGGCGGCGGGGGGCTGAGCGGGGGCGGGGGGATGTGGTCAGAGATGGAGGAGTAGGTCAGGGAGCTGCCTTCCTCACTGCTGCTGATGCACTCGCTGGCGCTGCTCCGCTCGTTGGTCACAAAGCTGGCCTGGTCGTCGTGGAAGCTCATCTGGTGGGGGCAGAGCAAGGTGAGGGGAGGGCCAGGCTGGGCCGGGGGATACTGGAGCATGGGGCAAGGTGAGGGAGAGTGGGACAGCCTGGGGACAAGGATAGGACAGTCTGGTGGGTTAGCCTGAGGCTGTGGGTGGGATGGCCCAACAGGGTAGCCTGGGACAAGCAACAAGGTAACCTGGGGCAGGGTATATGGGGTAGCCTTGGGTAAGGGGTGTCAGAGCTTGGGTCAAAGGTGGAACAGCTCAGGGAGTGGGGTAGCCTGGGACAGGGTCTCGGATGGACAAGGCAGGGAGAGGGGTAGCCTGGGGCAGATCGCAAGGGCAGAAGGCCTCTTGCAGGAGCCCACGGACTGCTCCCCTTCATAGGCCCGTATCATACCTGGCCCCCTTGTCCTCCACGTCTGCCTGCCCGCTCACCTCCTCATAGTCGTTCTCGGGGCTCAGGAAGTCATCCACGATGGCGACCCGGGGCCCCAGCTGCTCACTCAGCACGTCCAGGAAGCGGTCGGTATCCTGGCTTCGCGAGGGGTGGGAGAAGGTGAAGAGCTTCCTGCGGCTGGCTGGGCACGCAGGGGCCGGGCTGGGGGGGCTGTCAGAGCGGGTGGGCCCGGGGCCGGGCTGGGGGGAGGGCGCCCTGCTGCTGTCCAGGCTGGCGTACGGGTGGGACTCGGAGCTGCTGGGGGAGGCCGGGCCCCCTGAGCACAGTGGGTAGTAGCAGGGGGAAGACAGGAGCCGCTCGCTGGGCCAGGAGACGCTGGACGAGGTCCTGGGCCCTGGGGGAGGGGGGGATGGAGTGTGAGGACCCCTCTTCAGTGGGTACCTGGGTTCCAGGTGCAGGCTGGAGGGGAGGGGCCCAGCTCAGGCCGGTTCTGGGTTCCTGAGCACATTCCTTTCCCTCTCTGCACACCGCACAGGAAGCCCTTGGGTGACCTTGCCTCCCCAGGCTCTTCCCTGAGGGTGACCAAAGGCCAGAGTAGTGGGGGAGCACGGCCTAGCCCCAGGCCAGGCCAGACTCCAGCTCATCTTGAAAGGGACACCAGGGTGTCCAAGGGCCATGAGGCACCTCCCACACCCAGCAGGCCCTTGGTTTACAGGAGCATCACCCAGGGGTCCTGCCTTCTGAACTGCAGAGAAACCATCATGGGTGCCCTGTGAGCAACTGTCTTCCCAGCTGTGCCATTCACAGAGCAACGCATGCACTTAATAGTTTATCCAACAGCTCCATACTAACTTGGGGACTCCTTTGGGGCAGCCCTCTGTTTTTCTAGATCCACAGTGAAGGTGAGGATCAGAGGGGACATGGGAGGGGCCAGGACAACCCTGACCTTGATGGCCCCTAGCCATGGAGGCGGCTGGGGTTCCCCACAACTCAATTCTGTGACCATGGAGAAAAGACGGGGCTCCAGGAGGTATGTCTGGAGGTGGGGGCAACACCAGCCAGCCAGGAGGACAGAGGCCAGTGCTGCCCTCAGGAGCCAGGGCTGGCCGAGCCCCTACCTGCCGTGCCTGCCGAGCTGGGCACTGGTGGGGAAGCACGGGATCTGGATGTGGTCCCCATCTTCCCTTTGAAGCTGCTGCTCAGTCGGGACTCAAGCTCTGCATAGACAGCGGACATCTGTGCGGAGAGGAGGCAGGGGTGAGTCCACCCCACCCTCACCTCCCCCCACATGGCCCTAACGTGACCTCAGAGGCCAGGCCCAGGTGGTCTGGGAGGCAGGGGTCTGCCCTGGTTTCACGGGCCACCTTTCCCAGCTCCCCACTGACACCACCACCAGGAGGGCACAGAGGTCTCACCATCTTGGGGTTGGGGGTCTCAGGGAGAGATGTGCCGTCGCCTGCTTGGCGCTCGCCTGGGATCAGAGGAAGAGGCATCTCGGGGCAGTCACTGGGACCTGTCGGGAATCAGGAGGGTGGAGTCCCCCATAGGGGGTAGCCTGGTGACTGCTTCTGAGCCCAAGGCTCAGGCCTCAGCCAACCCCCAGCGGGGAGCCACGGAGAGACCCAGCAGGGCCACCACTCGGCCCACTCCCAAGCAGTGCTCATCTCACCAAGCCCACTGTGCAGGTGGGAGAATGGAGCCCTGGTCGCACCCTTCCACCCACTCCAGCCTTTCGGTTGCCGGCCTCACCACAGCCCAGGCTGGCCTCCAGGCCCTGGGACCGGAGGCTGCGGCGGCAAAGGGAGGAGGCCCTCAGGGAGCTCCGCGGCTGGGGCTCAGGCACTGGCTCCAGCTCTGGCTCAGGCTCCAGGTCCAGCTCAGTCTCCGGCTCTGCTGTGGGCCATGAAGGGGAGACGGGCCCCTTGTCCTCTCAGCCAGACAAGGAGCCTCCAAACCCCGGGATACAGGGAAGGGGAGGGCAGCAGCCGTCTGCGCCGATCTGTGACCCCTGGCCCTGCTCGGCTCTAGGACAGCTCTCAAGGGGAGGCCCTGGGGTGAGAAACTGGGTGCCGGAAACAGGAGGAGCACAGGGGTGGTGCTGGCCAGAGGCAGGAGGCCGGGCGGAGATGGCCACAGCCCACCCCCCAGGGCCTCTTCTCACGGCAAGAGCTTAGGACCCCAGGATTCCAAGGTCTCAACGCCTAGTCAGTGCTACCTATAGGGGCTTGCACAGTGAAATGGAAGCTTCCAGGTCTAGGCAGATGTGTGGGACATCTGTCGCTCAGCCTGCACCCTGAGCTTCTTGCTAAAACCCTCAACGCTCTCCCAGAAAATTGTGGGTCCCTGGGACGGGGGATAGTGGGCACACAGAGGCCAGCACGCAGATCTGCAGGCTGTGAATCGCAGGCACAGAGTGCCTGGAACAAACCCACAGGGCTCGGCACGCTTTTGATTCCCAGGGCCTAACTGATGAAGAGCATGGTTCTGTGGGCACATGGGGCACAGTGTAACGGGCGGCAGCAGTGGGAAGCGGAGGCCGCACGTGGCCCAGCAGGCCCTTGTGTGTGTTTGTGTACATCAGGGCCCACCAGGCAGGTGTGACCTGGCGGTGTGCTCATAATCAGCTCTGTAAACAGTGACCACACGAACTTCTTGACCTGTGCCACACTTCCTGGGGTGCACAGCACAGTCACTGAGGTCACTGCTATTTTGTGGGTGAGAAAGCTGAGACCCGGGGCGTGGGACCAGCCTGGGTGTGTTGGACCTGTATCTGCATGGCACGTGGGCACATCCGAGTGTGGCAGGAGCCCGGGTTGGCTGTAATACAGCACAGGTGGGAACAGGTGTGTGGCTCTTCACCTGGCGGGCTGGGTGGTGGGGCGGTGCTCACCTGTCATGGCCGTGTAGCCCAGGAAGCAGGCGATCTTCTCCTGGCAGAGCTCCTGTTCCTCGTAGGTAAGCAGCTGGTAGATGAATTGCCAAAGGACCTGCTTGGCAGGTGTGTCCAGCACAGGGTACACATCGACGATGAGAGTGTCGATGTTCCTGTGGGAGAGGGCAGGAGCAAGGGGCTGGCCATAGGGGGCGGGGAGGGAGTGGACAAGGGGGGCACTTCCGGGCCGCAGAATTCGGGCTCAGGCCCTGCCCTCACCCTCACAAGACAGAGAGGAGGGCAGGAAGGCAGGCTCTGGGGACGGGCCACCCCAAATCAAATCCTGCCTCTGCCACTTACCAGCCAAGTGACCTTTCTCAAGTTATTTAACTGCTCTGTGCCTCAGTTTCCTCATCCATAGAGTGGGGACAAAAATAACCTCTACCACACAAAGCTGTTGTGAAGATTAAAATATAGACAGTGTACTGGGAAGACTGACTCACTCTATCAGGAATTGGCAAATGACGGCCCGTGGGCCAAAATCCGGCCCACCACGTGTTTTTGCAAACGTTTTATTGGAACACAGCCGTGCCAATTTGTTTATATATATTCTCTGGCTGTTTTCAAGCTACAACAGCAGAGTGGAAGAGTTTCAATAGAGACTGCATGCCCTGCAAAGCTTAAAATATTTACTCTCTGGCCCTTCATAGAAATAGTTTGCCAATTCCTGCATTATGTGGACAAAATAAAACTGGATTCTCACATAACACCACATCAAGATGAACTCTAGGTGGATAAAAGACCAAAGTGTGAAGGATAAACTTAGAAAATTAATAGAAGATAACTCAGGAGAATATCTTTTGACCTAGGGTCAGGGAAGGACTTAAAATTTCAAAGCCAACATGAGGCTCAAAGTGTATTGAATTTGATTATACAAAATCAATGCTGTCTGTTCAAAGAAGCGAAACTTGGACCCGTTCATATTAGATACAACACAAATAACAAGTGGGAGAAGATATTTACAACATCTAAAATTAACAAGGTTTCAGTATCTGAAATATACAGGGAACTCCTGCAAATCAACAAGAACAAAACGCTCAATAAAACAAAAACGGATAAAGAGTCTGAAGAGGGAATTTATAGAGAAGGAAAAGGAAAAAGTTAACAAGGATATGAAAAGATGTTTAAAATAATTAGTAACTAAAATAACAAGATGTCACTTTATGGCGAACAGCCTAGCAGGAATAAAAAGCTGGATTGTCCCAAATGTTGGCGAGCACGTGGGGACAAGGGAGCACAGGCACGTTGCTGGTTCAAGTAGGAGTGGTGCTCTGGGAAGCAATTTGGCACCAGCTAGTCAAATTCAGTAAACAAATATCTTAATATCCAGCAATTCTGCTCTTGGATATCAATTTCAAATGAACTGTACACAGTTCCACAGAGGAATGAACACAACAGTGTTCATCATAGTGCTGTTGTGGAAGCGACCTAGTGTGCATCACCGGGGAGGTAAATAAGCAAGACACTGGCTGCGATCCACAGGAATCCGGCTGCAGTTATAAACAATGGACTAAATGTACACAGAGCAACGCGGACTGATCTAAACACATAGCGCGCGGTGGAAAAAAGTCAGATGCAGAATGCAATATACAGCACAACGATGACGTAAAATAAAAATACATCACAGGAAATAGCAATGCCCACTTTCCAAGAACACCTTCAAACGAAAGGATGCCCATTAGGCTCATCAGACTGGAATCCTTGGGAGGGAGAGGGATGGAGACCGAAAGGGAAGGAAAGGTGGAAGCAGCCAAGTGTCCATCAGTTGGTGAATGGATAGACCAAATATGGTCCAGCCACACAATAGACTAGTACTAGGCCATAAAAAAGGAACAAAGAAGATGCTATGACTTGGGTGAACTTGGAAAATATTATGCTAAGTGGAAGACGCCACACATAAACGTCCACATAGTATATGATTCCATGCCTATGAAAGTCCGGAACAGGGAAATCTATAGAGAAAGAAAGTAGATTAGTGGTTGTGTAAGGTTGGGGGCAGCAAAGAAGCAGGGGGTGGTATGAAAGAGTGCGGGCTTCTTTTTGAGGTGATGAAAATATCCTAAAATTGGAGCGTGGTAAAGGTTGCACCTCCTTCTGAATATAATACAACCGGTACATTGCACACTTAAATGGGTGAATGGTATGGTATGTGAATTACATCTTAATAAAACTATTTAAACAAAAATGAAAAAGGAATGAACAAGTGAGGGGCTTCACACAGACCCTGTTAATGACCCTACGGACCAAGGAGTGTGATAAACGCAGCCTGCTGCTGCCGGGGTGCATAAAGAAAGACACCAAACCAACCCCTCAGGGTCTGGCCAGTGATGAGGGCCCACAGGCAAGGGTCTTATGAGGGTCCCACCAACAATGCTGCTGGTGGTCACTGTCTGCTTCACTTGCCCAGGTCACGTGACCAGGAGGTTTCAGAGTCAGGGTTTACTCTAGAGCAGCCAGAGTGGCCCCCACTCCCTTGGTCCCCTGGTTCCAGCTGCCGCCTTCTTTGAGCCTCTCCCAGGAGAAGGAGGCTGAGGAGGCTCAGGCAGGGGGACCCAGATGGTGAGTCTGGACAGGATCAGGGGCCCACCCGGGGCAGGTCCCCACCACCACCCGGGCCCGGCCACCTGTGCTGGAAGAAGCTCTCCAGGGCCCGGCAGACCCCATAGCGCTCAGGAGGCGTGAGCAGGTGCTCCAGCTGCTGGCTGAAAGTCCTCCCCTGCACCCGGATGCTGGACGGCAGGATCTCTGCCACCCACTGCAGGGAGGTGAGCGCCGACGACGGGTTGGGGGAGTCCAAGGAATCGGAGTCTGCCGAGGCCACAGGCATGAGAGGCACAGGTGACCCGGTGTCCCCAGGCCAGGTGCAATTTCCCTGGCAGCTGGGGCCAGGGGACCTCCTGAGCTGAAGTGAGCACCATGCATTGGAGGGCACACCCGCTGCCCGCCCCTGGGACAGGGATGGAGGGAAAGCCCGGGGCAGGGTCCCTGAGGCGGCCCCATTGGGGTCTACAGCCCCTCCCCAGGAGGGAAGCTGCAGGTCTGGGGGAAAGGCAGAGTCCTCTGCAGACTCGTCAATCCCACACACGGTGGGAAGCCAAGTGGCAACGGGGTCTCACCGCTGGCAAATGGGGTGAGACCCTCCTCCACCACCAGTGTGGGCATTGCACCACTGCCCTGCAGCATGGACACCACCTTGTCGTGGGAGCAGTTCCTGTCGAGAAGAGATGGCCCAGGAGGGCCTGACCGGAATGAGCCCTGGCCACTGCCACCTGCCAGACCTCCCTGTCCCGCCCATAGAGGCCACACAGCAAGCCCACAGCAGGGACAGGACCAGAAGCCCAGGCCTTCTCTCTCCTGCTCATTAATCTGCGCAGGAGAAGCTTCAGGCCCAGGGCCAGCTGGACACTTCTGGGTCATGCTCGCGTCACCCCTAGGCAGGGCTCCCCCTTAACGGCAAGACACAGAGAGTTCATTCCACTCTGTGTCCCCAGCATGGAGCTGGGGTGTTTTCTGGTTGGAAGGATGAAGTGATGTCCCAGCTAGGATGGGAGGATAGATTCAAGAGTTCCCACAGGAAGATGGACAGACCCTGGGGACCAACTGGTCAGTGGAGATGGGGACCATGGCCCGGGCGGCCCAAGAGGCAGAAATCTTGGGGGGCAGTTTGTCACCAAGCTCTGATGTCCCAATAACCTCTGACCTCATGTCCAGTCCGTTGAGGAAGAGGATCCGGTCGCCCGACTTGAGGGAAGCATTGTCGGCCGGGCTCCCTGGGAGCAAGAAGAGAGGGCGTGCTGGTCAGCTGGGCAGGGCCCCGCTCCGCAAGCCCGAGACCGTTCTCCTGTCTCACAGGTGAGAAGTGGGATGGACGGCACAGGAGAGCCCCATTCAGCCCAGCAGTGCCCACATAGACCCAGCGCATCTCTGCTCTCAGCTGCCCTAAGCAGGAAGTGATCCCCTGGAGGGATGGGAGTGCTGGGAACACGGTGTGGAGCACCGGGCAGCCCTGAGCTGTTGGAGAAGAGCAGAAACAAGGAAGGTCTTGAGAGCAGGAATTCTGGAGCATCCACACACCCGCTGAGGACCCCACTCCATATGCTCTCCTTGGCCCCCCATACAAAGGTACACATCGTAGATCCGTCCGTGCCTTTGTCACCAGGAGGAAATGTGTCTCCCCGGAGGGAGGCAGTGTCCTCCCTGAGACTGGGAAATATGGTGTATTAGTCATGTTTTTTATGCTCTGGCATCTTGGGGCCTTGCTGATACTGGACGCGCTGTCCCTCCCAGGGTTAACCACTTCTTAGAGAGTAAATGACTGGTCCGTGAGTGTGCCTTTCACTCACAAACCAACCACCCCAGAGACCGCACCCAACCCCTCCTCCCTGGGGCTCTCACACTCTGGGCCACTGTTCCCCTGCCCTCATCACTCCAGGACCAGGCACCAGACAACCAGGGACAGCCCTCTGCCCCAGAGTCCTCTGAACTTATTCAAACTAGCCCATCCTAAACCTGCTCACCCTGCCTTGCTAGTTCCTTCCTGCAAAAACCACAATAAAGGCTCTTGTCCACATCTCCCCTCGCTCCCTCTGCCTCCTGACTGACCCTGGTACTTCCCCACGTGGCCCTGTGTGGCGTGGGTGCCCCTTCCTCTGGGGAGCTGTAAGGAATGAACTGTCTTTTCCGTGGCGATCGTCCCCTGATCTGCCGGCCTCATCATACCTGAATAATAAAATTTACATTTTAAACACATGGCAGCAGCTAATTTTCACTCTTTGCCTTGAAGGCTTTGAAGGTCAGACTTAACCCAGTACCTAGTACCTGGGGAAGGAGGGGCTGGGAAGTTTGCTCCTGTGGATATAGATTTTTTTTCTCTTTCTGCCTCTTTTACTAGTCATCACTCTAAAGTTGATTTGGAAGTAAGTGGGGTGGGGGGAAATGATGCAAACCTAAATAAAATAGACTCTTAGACTGAGAACTTCTCTCTTGAGGCTGTGGGGATTGTCAGGAGAGGAAGGGGAATGATCAGGGAAGACTTCCTGGGGGAGGTGACGGAGGGGACTGAAATGGGAGAGGGGAGAGAGTTTTGGTTGTGATGAAGCCAACGTGGCCTCCTGGAGGCCTGAGCCAGCCTGGGGTGAGAGGACAGACGGATTGGGGCAGGCGATTAGAGGTCACTGGTCAGGAGTCAGGAGACCCCAGGTTCTGATCCTTGATTTGCCATGCCTCTCCAGGCCTCAGTTTCCCCATCTGTAAAAGCTCCCATTGAAGCATCCACCTGGCTTCTGACGACAAGGGAGGCATGGGGTTGCCAGCCTGGAGGCTGGAGTGGGATTCGAACACAGCCCTAGGCCAGGTATCTCTGGCTACACATGTGGGAGAGGCAGGGGGGTGCGGGTGGTGACGGTGGCACAGTTGGAAGAGACCCATCTCAAGAGGAGAGATTAATCATTTCTAGCGGAAGCTCCCTAGAGGGCAGCCTTGGGCCTTTTCCCTCCAACAGCGTGCCACCAACTTAGTGATGCACACATCCGAGAAGAACCAGAACGTGTCAGTCATCAGGATTAGGTCTCAGAATGATCCGATGGCTGGAACAGGGGGGCAAAGGCACTGAGGCACTTTCCCAGGGATCACAAATCTGTGGACCGGAGACGTGAGATGAAGAAGGGTAGAGAGGACCCAGCAACGACAGAGGCACCGATGGGGATGTGTCTCCAGGAGCATCAGGCTACATGCTGGCAGGGGATGGGTGCAGGTGACCCAGCCCGCGGGGCATTACAGGGAGGGGAGAGTTCAAATCTGCCCCCTGGAAACCTGCTACAATGGAGCGGGCTGCCTCAGCAAAAAATGAGCTGCTTCCCTCCGCTCCCCCAACCCCACTGGAGGGGCAGAAAGGAGGAATTCCTGCACTGAGAAGGCTCTGCCTCCTTCAAGATGCCACCATTGCAGGAGCAGGAATGTGCAGGCTGAGTGGGAGGAGGAGGGGAACCCGGCCGAGGTGGGGGTGGATAGTGGGCAGAGGCCCTGGAGACTTGCTGCTTCTCCGACTCTGGCCCGCCCAGAAAGTGCCCAGCTCACAGTAAGCACCTGACACACGGAATGTTGTTTGGGGCTCAGCCTGGGCGGGCACCAGCTCTGTCCTTGCTGCCCCAGTGTCCCCAGAAGTGCCCCCAGCCCTCCCTGTGGACACAGGAAAGGCCTGGATGGAGAGCTGGGCTCACTGGGCTCACAGGTGACCTTGAACTAGGAGGGCGCTCGCCCTGACCGGGGCAGGTGGAGGATTTGGATCTGCTGCTCTGGACACTCGGGGGACACAGGCTACATGAGGCTGGTATCTGGGGGGAGGGGCTTATTGAGCAGTGGCCTAGCAGGGTTCTTCACCCCATCCCGGACAACCACCCACCCCTCACCAGGAAGGACAGACTCGATCCAGACAGGCCCATGGCCCCGCAGCGTGAAACCGAAGCTCTTGTTGCCCTTGTAGACTCGGACCGTCCTGGAGAGAAAAGAAGGGGCCGGGTGGGGGGCAGGCAGCGTGCCTTGCCGTGCGGAGAGGAGGGCTGGGTGCGCAGGGGATGGAGATGTCCCGTGTCCCGCTCCCCTTAACCTCTCCTGTCCCCCCACCCCTCAAATGTCCCCGCCCCGCCGCCCCCGCCCCCTCTGCCCAGGTCTCCATCCGGGAGCCCACCGACCGGGAGGCGTCCGCAGCCCGGGTACCTGCGCGCGCCCCCCAGGCCGGTGCGGCCGCCCAGCAGCGAGGCGGCCTTGCGCGGGGGAGGCTCATCGGGGCGGCGCGGGGCGGCGCTGGCACGGGTGGACACCAGGAGGCGCTCGGGCCGCTCCTCGCTGCGGCTCCGGCGCAGCCGCTGCGCGCCCTGCGCCCGCCGGGCGCGGCACAGCTTGCCCAGCAGACCCTGGGACACCACCTCGTCGAAGCGCGCCCGGTGCTTCTTGGGGATGAAGATCCTGCCGGCGAAGACGGCAGAGTCGGGGCGCGCCCCATGACTGCGCCCGGATCGCGGCCAACTGAGGCCCGAAGGCGCCTCCTCGTGGGCGCTGCCCTCGGCTCTCCCGCGCCTACCCAGGGATGGCGGAGGAAGCAGCAGCCCGCACACCAGTCTCCCCCTCGGTGCCCGGACTTGCGCCCCAACCAGCCCGGGCCACACAAGGACCATGGCGCCCCGCTCGGAGAGTCACGTTTCAACCGTCCCCATTACTCTGCCCTTGGGGGGCCTCAGTGCCTCCAAAGCCCGTCCATGCACCCGTTCCTCCACCTGCCTCTATCCCCCCATCTCTGGCCTCCCCACTACCCGACTCATCTCATGTTCTTGCACCAGGCCAAGCCCCAGCCAGGGATCCCCACCACCCACCTTCTCCCGGCCTGATTCCAGGCAACTCTGCTGGAGAAAACTGAAGCCACGATTCACCCAGACCCTCCTGACGCTCCCAGGCTTCCTGCCCGCTTCTCTGGCCAGCCCTCTCTACAGCTGCCTACTTGGGATGTGCCAGGACCACCACATCCAGTCCCACTGGTATGCTTCTGCCCAGGCTGTGGCCCTCTCCAGTGCATTCTCTGCTTCCTTAGCTAAATTGAGCTGGCCCTTCAACACCCAACATTGGCCTTCCTTTGGTTTAGCCCTCCATGTTTTAGGCAGTCCCTATTATCTGTGCCAGCCGGGCACCAGGCTTTAAAGTAGAAGGCACTGTGGTTCCTTCTCTCAAAGGAGTCACCCTGGAAGAAGGGAGAGGCAGAGAGGAAGCTCACACGGTCCCCTGTGCTGGGTCCACACCCTGGATGCTTCCTTGATGGCTATGGGTCTCCTCTGTGAGGCTGGAAGCTCTCTGAGGGCCGAGTCTGTAGCTCGGCTGGGAGCCACAGTGACCAGCCAGGGCTCCATACACGGGAGGGACAAAGTGGCTCAGTAAATGGGTCCACCACAGGTGGCGCAACCATATCTCTGAGTAATGGCAGCCGCTAACAGCATGGAGGACTCCCCAGTCCGTGGCAGCAGATTCTGAAGCTCACAGAGGATCTGTAACTTTCCAGGGTTACAGAGCTCGCCCTTGGCACCTCAGCACTGTGGCAGGGTCCTGATGGGGGCCCCTGAAGTTCTGGTTGCTAGCAAGGCCTTCCTGGCTGCATGCGTCTCAAGGCTCCCTTCCCTGTTCTTTGTACTAGGAGCCAGTGCCAAGGGCTTGGGGGGTGGGGGGAGGGGAGGGAAGCAGTGACCTTGCAGCCAGCTGAAATACAACCCCTCTGAGGTTGCCCAGTGGTCCCCACTCAGTTCCCCCTGACCTCTGTGGGCAGGACTAATAAGGCCAGGTGGGCAGAATAAGCTACCTGGTGGGAGGGAAGGGGTATGGATCCTGGGGGAGGGGAGTGCATCAGGCCCTGCCCCCCAGCGAGCTCTGCTCCAGGTCTGCATGTTCCAGGCCACCATGAGGCCAGAATGAATGGCTTGCTCAACTCTGCCAGGAGCGTCCTGGCCTGTTATGCTCATCCTTGCCCACCCGCAGTGATTCCCAAAAATCCAGAGCCTCAGCTTCATTCCCCAGATGGTCACCCAAGGTCTCTGGAGCCTGACACCTCCATCTGCCTGGCCTGCACATTCCCCACACCCGCCTGGACCCACCACATGCCTCATGCTCAGGCAAAGGAGGGGTGACAAGCCACAAACTGTCCTCTTCACACTTTAGGCTCCAGCCCCAAGCTCCAGAAGGTGTCAACTCTTCACCCCCAGCCCCTGGGTCCAACCTGGGCAGGGGCCGGGTGACCATCCCAGCTCCATCCTCCAGCAGCAATTAGAAAAGGCCTTGCTCCCCCCTCCCCCAGTGGGAACAAGGGTGAGTCACCCACTGCACAGGTGGGAGAAGATCGGGTGACCCTTTCCCTGCTTGGCATCCTTGGGGCTGAGCCAGATGCCCTTCCTGGCTGGTGCGGACCCACCATGCAGCTTGGTCTGACAACCCAGCCCTAGGTCTGCTAACCCAGCAGAGCCAGGCACAGTGAGGTCTCATGGGCCATTGCGGGGATCACTGCCTCTCTGACCCTGGCAGCCTGACTATGGCTGCCCCAGGACTCCCAGGTCCCTGCTATGCCTTCAGGCTTCTCCGAGGCCATAGGACTCTTTTGGGGTCACACAAGGACGTTGCACTCAGGGTCAGTTCTGTTCTCTCCGCCTGGGGGGTCAGGTCTAAATTCATCTCCAGACTCCTACCAGGGGCTGCTCGAGGGTCCTCTCCCTCCAGCAAATTCCCTGCCTTAGCTCTCTGTCCAGTTCCCTCGACCAACCCAGTCGTTCAGTCGTAATAAGGAAAGAGGGCTTTCCAATCCCAGCCGTTGGTTCTTGACTCCCATCCCGACCCCCTGGGCCGCGCGCGGGTATCCGGCACCCAACGGGGGGAAATTCGCCCCCATGTCCCCTTCCGGTTATGTCCATCCTCCCCAGCCCCTGGGCCCCAGCCGGGCTCCGTGAGTGCCCACCCAGGGCAGGGAAGCCCCTCAGTGCTCCAGCCCCACCCCCTTTTCAGCTCTGCCGGAGACAGGTCCGCGGCACCCAGGGCGCACGGTTCCAGGGGGCGCGGGACGCGGTGGGGAAACTACCGAAAGTGTCGAGAGAAGCCTTGGTCCTTCCCCATCTGGAGCCGGCGACGGCGGTGCGGCAGGTGCCGATAGGCGCGGGGTGGCGGAGCCCACGAGCGGACCAAGGGCGCGGCGACTACACGCGCCTCTGCCCGGCGAGCGCGCGCGGCCCCTCCCGAGCCGGCCAGGCCCGCGGCCCCGCGCCCGCCCCTTCCCGCGTGGCCCCGCCCCGGCCGGCCCCGCCCCTCCGGGGGACCCTTCAGCGAGCTCCGGGGGAGCTGAGGGCGGTTCAAGCCTGTCTCTTCTCGGCACCCTCTATTAGTCCCTCCCCAGACGCCTCGCCTCCGACTTCTTGGGCCTCTGCGCCCCAGCGCCCCGCACAGCGGCGAGTCCCCAACCCTGGCTGCAGCGGCCCTTAACCAGACAGGCTGCAGCGACCCCGAACCAGACAGTTCGAGGAAGCCCCGACTGCCTTATGTAGAGCACGGGAAGGCTTTCCGGAGGTGGTGGTCTTTGTGCTGGGCCTCAAGAGCTCAGCAAGAGTGGGCCAGGGAGAGGAAGCCCTCCTACCTATCCAAGGGGATGCGCCAACGGAGGAGAGGCTAGAGAAGGAGGCCTTGAATGCCACTGTCAGCAGCTGGGACTGCACTCTGAAAACAGTGGGGAGCCATGGGAGAGTCTAAGGATTTAATGGAAGGTGGAGGGACCCTACAGGTCTTGGTACATCATGCGAGAGGTGACATTGGGAAGGGAGCAGGGAAGGGATGGAACAAGTGCCTAGATTCGAAGAACACAAAAGAAGGAGAGTGTGTGAGATCTGGTGAGTGAATGGCAGTGAGGAGAGGGCAGCCAAACCAAGGCAACGCCCAGATGAGTGGGGGCAGGGCAGGGAGTAGAGGGCCCCCCCCTGAGATGGGCGTGTCCTACTGGGAGAGAGGAGGGGAGGGATAGCGAAGGGGAGGAGAGAGAAGAGGAAAGGGGTCGGGACTCTTCCTCTGACTCTGGGCCTGCCACTCCCTGGAAGTCAGAGCAGGAGCAGACCCCAGGGACCCCACGCCATTGTCATTTCTCACTGATCCGAGTCCTGACCACCGTCCAGAAAGGATGGATAGGCCCCAGGGAGCCAGCCCAGGGCATCCAGGGGAGGGCTTCTCAGGGGCGACCTCAGTGGGGGACATCAGCACAAGGCTCTCTCCTCACCAGGAGGCGGCCACCACCCAGACAGGCTGGAACCACAGAGGCAGGAAACCCCAGGGACTGTGTCTCTGTCTCAGTCACTGGGAGGAACATCTTACATGGTCCCGCCCGCGGGGTTCCTGCAGCCCGTCACAGGGAGGCCCTGCAGACCTGCCGGTCAGTCTCTGGTACTCTGTCCAGACCCGTGAGGCCGCCCCACTGCTGTGCTCAGTCAGGGCTGCATTTCTCCCCAGCAGCAGCAGCAGCAGGAAGCCAGGGCTAGTGCTCAGGCAGGGTCCTCCCCAGGCCTTGTCCTCAGCTCCGCCAGGGAGAGAAATGTCTGACAGCCCTCACAGTGAGCACAGCTCCCTGACATCGCAGGGCTGCAGCCATTCCATCAGGACAGAGCCATTTCTGGTTGTTTTGTGCCAGCTGCAGTGGCCCAGCATCCAGAACCAGGCCTACCCAAAGGCTGTGGAGACTGTCCACATTGCTGCTGCAGGCAGAGGAGATGTGAGCAGGGAGCAAATACCCATGCTCGAATCCAGACACAGCTGGAAGTGCACGCACTGCCTCGGAGCCAGGTCTCCCGAGTACAGTGAAGGCACCTAAGCGGCCAGCAGCTGGTGCATTTGGCCAGATGACCCAAGGCAGGGGGAGAGGGGGCGGGCAGGGGCCAGGCAACAGGTGGCCTTTGCGAGAATGTCTGCCCAGCAGGAGGGCACTACCAACAGCTGATCATTCTGGGACAGTAGCTCTCAGCTGGGGCGATTTTGCACCCAGGGGACATTTGGCATTGTCTGGAGACAGTTCTGGTTGTCAGAAAATGACAAGTGGGAGAGGGGTGTGCTGCTGGCATCTAGTGGGTGGAGGCTGGGGATGCTGCTGAACATACAGGACAGCCCCCAAGAAAAGAGAATTATCAGAGCCAAAACGTCAATAGTGTCGTGGTTGAGAAACCTCCCTAGGGAGAAAGAGATCTTCCCAGGGGGATACCCACACTAACTGAGCACATACTTATGCCTGGCACCTGCACCCACACAGTTGCACAGAATTCTCCCAATAACTGTATTATGGTGTCCCCAACACTTGTCATTAAAGCAGAAGGGGATGAAGGAGGTACAGATATTCCCTCACATCCTACTTCCAGATTTTTTTTTTTTAAACATTGGCACCTGGGCTAACAACTGTTGCCAATCTTTTTTTTTTTTTTCTGCTTTATCTCCCCAAACCCCCCCTGTACATAGTTGTATATCTTAGTTGCAGGTCCTTCTAGTTGTGGGATGCGGGACGCCGCCTCAACGTGGCCTGACGAGCGGTGCCATGTCCGCACCCAGGATCCGAACCCTGGGCTGCCACAGCAGAGCGCACGAACTTAACCACTTGGCCATGGAGCCAGCCCCCCTACGTCCAGATTTTCAACTCATCTCTTTTCGGCCTGCAGTTGGCAGAGTTCCTTTATGTGGTTTCCTACCAAGAACCCTGCTGGGAACACATAGGGATTACCAACCCCACTTACAGATAAACTAGGGGTCAATTAACCTGCCCAAGGTCACTCAGCTGTGAGTGGACTTAGGGTTCAAGCTAGGTTTGTTGGGATTCCAAATTCCAGCTTCCTCCACCACCTCTCGTTGCTTCCCTCCCCAGCGCCGCCCCAGCCCTGCCTGCCCCTCCCCCTCTTTGCATTTTTCCTGAAACACCAGCAGACCACAGAACTGACTCTGCTAGCTTGTTCTCTCCTAATCACGTCACATTTTCCAAAATGCCTGGCCTGTCCTAATTAGAAAGTCATTTTATCACTTCATCAAACGGGGATGCCCTTGGGGATAGACCCAAATTCGGCTCTGAGCCTCAGGATTAACTGCCGTCGTGAAGGAAGACCAGACTCCTGACTCCTGCCACTGACCCCAATCTCCCCCCCACGCAGCGCTGTCCCAGAGAACTTTCTGCAGTGATGCCCATGTTCTGGATGTGTGCTGTCCCGTATGGGAGCCACTAGCCGTATGTGGTCAGTGAGACTGGGAAGGTGAATTTTAAATTTTATTTAATACTTATGAAATTTACATAGCGACACGTGGCTAGTGGCTACTGTGCTGGACGGCACAGCTTCATGGTCTTACTGCCCCTTCTTCTTTCTCCCCAAGCCTTCTGTTTTGGCCACTGGGACCATCCCTCAGAGGCCACGTGGTGATCTGGGTGGGTTCCAGCCTCGGTCAAGTGCGCACACGCACAGACACACGCACACATACATATGTGCACCAACCCTTTGGCCACTCAACCTCCCATTCAAACCTTGTCTCTCCTCAATGGGGGGGTCCAAGGGTCACAGCTGTAGCTCTCCCTGGCCCCCCACCTCAGGAGGGTGGTTCACAGCTGGGCACTGCTTGGAAACCCAGTGTTGGGTATCCGTGGGCCTGTGTGGCACTGCCCTCACTTTGGCACTCGGGGGTCCACCTCTATGGCTAGATACCTGGCCCTGATGAGCTCTCCTTGGGGACTGTCATCCCACCCCCACTGGACACACTGACAGACCCCACTGGTCACTGTGGAGCCACAGCAGTGGCATCTGCTGCCTCCTCTGAGGAGCCTGCCCTGATTGCCCCCTGCTGAGATAGCTCTCGGCTGGCACTCAGCTCTCAATCAGAGATAACTGTGTCTTTGACTCCTCCATGCCCCCTCTGAGCTCTCCCGGGAAGATGCTGCCTGGGGATCACCACTGCATTCCTAGAACCCAGCAGGTAGGCCCCCCAAGCGTGGGGGTGGGGGTGGGGAGGTGAGGGGGGTGGGGAAGTGAAAGGGTGGGGGTAGGGCTGAAGCCACGCTGCCAGGGTACCCCTCTCTGTACAGAGCCCAGCTGGGCGCCGCCCCCTTCCTCCAGCAGCCTCCCCAATTTTCCTGTCGCACTTGACACGCGCTGACAACAGAGGTTGCTGTTTCATCCTCCCCAGCGGCGCCCCGGGGATGCTGCGGGACCGGGCATCCCCAGGCGCCCAGGGGGTGCCTCCCCCACCCCGGCTCTTCCTGACCGGCTGCCAGGTCGCTCGGGGAGACGAGCTGGAGACGGGAAAGGCAGACGTGGAGGCTCTCCCGGGAGGCAGACAGGCTGGCCCGGCAAAGGCAGCAGGGACAGAAGCCGGGGCAGCCCCGAAGGGAGATGAGAGGGACCGAGAGAGCTTCCAGCTGGGTCCAGCTGCTAGCAGCCTTGAGACACGCGTGCCAACTTCCAGGGACAGCCCGGCCGCCCACGCCCCTGGCGTGGCCCTGGTGGAGAGGGGTGGGGTGGGGGGCTGCCCATCCATCACCTCCCTAGGGAACCCGTAGCGCCAGCACAGCATCTCCACTGCAAATTCGGCTCCAGAAATAACTTTTTTTTTCCTCTCCAGATTTTCCCAGCAAGGGGCAGGCCCCTAACTCACCCCAGGCAGCTCATGATGGCCTCTTTCGGTGGCCTTCTGTGCTCCACTGCAGAGCCGAGACGCTGCTCTGGGGCTTGAGGATGGGGGGTGGCCAGCCCTGTCCCTGACATTGGCCAGGCCCAGAGGGAGGGGCAGGCTTCGAGGTGAATGGCAGCGAGGGGAGGGGGCGGGCTGAGCCCAGGAAGGGGGAGGGGCAGGGATGGGGGAGCAGTCGCCGGCCGGGGAGGCGGGGAGGGGAGAGAAAACCCTGCAGGATGGGGCAGGGGGCGCTTCACTGAGGCCCAGAGGGGTTCTGACCAAAGCTGTGCAGGGCAGGACCGAGAGAGCCTGGCAGGAAAGAGGGGCTAGGGAGATTCTTCCCCGACTCCAGGTGTGGACCCACCAGGAGATTTTTTTTTTTTTTTTTTTGAGAATAAACTTAGAGCGTCCAAAGCTGAGCAGAAGAGCAGAAAGTGCACAGCTGACCCAGTTCCCGTCCTGTGACTGCCACTCATTTGCTGTGTGACTTTGGGCCAGCCTCTTAACCTCTCTGAGCCTCAGTCTGCTTCTGCGAAATGAGGATAATAGCACTGGTGGGATTCAGCCAGAGAGCGTTCCTCCAGGGCCCTGGGGAGGTCCTTGGCACACAGCTGGCGTTGTCAAAGTGCAGAGAGCACACACTGTTGGTAGGATGGGAGTGTCAGGGATGGACGCAGCACACCCCTAGGCTTCCTTGCCTTCACATTGTGCCACTGCTCCATCTCAATAAAGAGCTAGGAGTATTTTGGCATCCCGTTGGAGCTTTCTGTGATCTGGGTTTTGGGATAGAGCAGGGCAGGCTGTGACTTCAGATCAGGAGTCGGGTCCTCTCTGTCCCAGCCCAGCAGGTAGCACGCTCTCCTTCCCACTCAAAGTGATGCCCCGGCATCCAGCAGAGCCATCAGCCGCCCTTCCCAGGGTCGCTGGCCCACCCCCGTTCTGGGGCTGACGGAGTGTTGGGGTCCAGTCCAGGAGCAGGCCGTGCAGCAGCAGCGCCTGGGGTGGCAGTGGGAGAGTGGACGCCCTGAGTGAGGCACACCCTGCCTGCCCGTCCTGCCCCAACGGAGGTACCTGAGGTTGTCCAGAAGTGGCCCACGGGCCTCGTGGGGCAGCGCCAGGGTGAGGGCCCACACCAGGTCATCCACCCGCTGCTCGGCCGCGAACTGCTTCAGTGCAGCGAACACCTGCTCCTTGGTGGCCGGCTGGTCCCCTAAGATTTCGTCCACCTGCAAGGAAAGGTGTGGTGAAGGACCACAAGGGACCCAGGGCAGGACACTGGGGGATCGCTCACTTTCCTCAGTTTCCCTCCGCAGGATAGCTGATGTGGGAACACCGCCTGAGCACGGGTGTGAGCTCTTTGCCATTTCAAACCTCAGCAGCCCTACAACATGGGCATGGCCAGGATCTGCATTTGACATCTAAGGAAACTGAGGCTGATAGAGGTGAAATGACTTGTCCAAGGGCACAGGGTCAGGACCCAAATCCAGAGAGAGCCCATCTAGTGAACATCGTAAGAATCAAAGAAATCAATGCAAGAGTTTAAACATGTACCGGGCACTCAATAATTGCTAGTTACTATTGTTAGAATACTACACTCCTTTCCACTACATTGTTTGCTGAGAGATCCCATAGAGAACATTCTGGCTCCACCGAAAGCCCTGGAGTGCATGCCTAGCCCTGAATTTTGAATCCCTCTGTGCTCCCTAAGGATTTTCATTTTCTCCGTGCTTGTGCACAAACCAACTGATACTAATCAAGGTGCATCTACTCTGAGGGGTCCGTGCGGCTGGTGGAGATGGGCGTGCACATAGGCACCGTGTTTCTGGAAGGCAGCTTGGTGAGTGTGTCTAAAGCCTAAAAGGGTACCCATCCTTCTAGCCAACGATCTCCATCTCGGAATGTATCCTAGGCTTGTCCTGACAAGCAAGATGAGCGCAGAATGGTATATGAGTGAAGAGGCTCACCTCTGGGTGGTTTATAATACTGAGATGTTGGAAGCAACATAAATATCTGACAATATGGGCTAAATAATTGTAGTGCAATCCACTGGAGGGATATGTGTAGTTTCTTGCCTACCAGCCAAAAGGGGAGAAAACCTCGAACTGGGTGAGAGGCAAGATATTGGGGGTCCTGTTGTGGCTTTGGCCAATTGCAGGCTCTTGCCCGGGGTTTTGGCTCTTGAAGGAATGATGCAGAGATGTGGAGACAGCAGAGCTTCTTCAGGGCAGTGGCAGAGCCCCGTAGCACACTCTGAGCAAACTCTTCCTGAAGGATGCTTTAGGACAGCTGTACTCCCATTGCCGATCCTTTCTTGGTTCTAAGCCTGCTTCTCTCACGCTGATTCTGTGAACTGTGCCTCCCACAGATTCCTTTCCTGCCTAAGTCAGCGGAGCCAACTTTTGTTGTTTTGCGGCCACTCACTCCACACTCTGCAATGTTGGACATCATTGATTCTAGGGTGAGCATGTTTTTTTTTGTATTTTAACGTTGCTGAGATCAGGATGCGTCTAATGTGTAACTGTAATTCCCGTGCATATGTGAATTTGGTCATAGGTGTCCAAATTGTTACTTCCGCTGAGTTGTGTGCATTGGCTGGTACGAAATATGTCCAAATAAATCTAAAAGTCCCCTTTCAGTAACTACTAAGTGACAAGAAGGTGATGAGGAAGCGTGTGTCATGGGTTAATTGGCAGGGATTTTTCTGTATTTGCGGTAAGTGGAACAACGAGGCATCTTGCAAGGGGTGATGTTTTAGATTTGACACAATGTGGTACTATTTGGCCAGTGAGAATGATGCTGTCAATCTTTACCTAAAACCATAAAATAGGGAGTGATGGCTAAGGGGTGTGGGGCTTCTTTTTGGGTTAAAATGTTCTAAAATTAACTGTGGTGTTGTTTGAACAACTCTGTTAACATACTAAAAAACACTGAATTGTACACTTTAAATGAGTAAATTGTACGGTATGTGAATTAAATCCCAATAAAGCTGTTATAAAATACATGGGAAACTGTTTGCAATAAACAGGCAAATAGCAGGTTATCAAACAGAATACACAGCCTTACATTTTTAATATATATAATTACACGTATGTTTGTGTATAGGAAATATGCATTAAGTTTTATAGTGATTTGGATTTTTTAAAATAATTCATTGATTTGCATTTTTTCTACAGTGAACTTGTATGATTTATACAGTCAGGAAAAGGAATGTACATTATCATTGTTCCTTTTTTTCCTTTGTTTTTCACTGTGGCAAAAATGCACATAAGACAAAATTTACCTTTGTAACCATTTGAATTCCTACAATTCAGTGGCGTTAAGTACATTCATAATGCTGTGTATCCATCATCACTATCTAGTTCCAGAACGTTTTCATCACCCCAAAAGGAAACGCCATAACCATCAAGCAGTCACTCCCAAATCCCCCCTTCCACCACCCCCAGAAACCACTAATCTACTTTTCTGTCTCTACGGATTTGCTTATATTGGATATTTCATGTGAATGGAATAACGCAATATGTGGGCTTTTGTGTCTGGCATCAGTTTCTTTATGCAGCACCTAACTGCTGTCCATCCACGCTCCACCACGAGAGCCCTCCCTTGTTGGTCGAGGGTCTAGGGGTGTCTCTGGGCACTGACATCCTGAGCTGACCCTGAAGCAGAGTGGGGAGGCTGGGCAGCTCAGTGACAGTGTGAGTGTGCCTTGGGGGCGTGAGGGTGCAACTTCACCCAGAACCAGAGCTGTTCTGTGCCACCTCTTTCACCTTCCATCCGCCTCCAAACTTCTCAACAGACACCACATCTTTCCCCTCCACCCTCCATTCTCAGACGATGAAGAGCCCTCTTCCTGGTCAAAGCCAACCCACCAGGCCACAGACACCCCACTCCCTCCCATCCTCATCCTCTGATCCTGCCACCTACTTGTCACTCAGCTCTCGAAAGTCACCCCCTCGGGGAGCCTTTCCTGACCACCCTGTCCGTGTGGCCCCCATCGCTCTCTCATCTCCCCTGTTTGTTTCTTCACCTCGCTGATCATTATCTAAAATAGCTTGCTTATTGATTTGGCTGCTTCCTCATTGTCTCTTTCCCCACAGGAATGTCAGTTGCACGAGAGCAGGCTCCCCGCCAGTCCTGTACACAGAGGTTTCCCCAGTCCTTGCACATCTGAGGTCCATAATCAAGGACCGCTAAATGCATAGATGTCATTGTCTCTACTGCCTCCTTCCCTTCAACCTATATAAATGATCAAGTCCTCCCAACCTATGGATAAATAAGTAAATGAAGTCCTTTTCACCCCACAACCTGATCACCCTCTTATTTTTTCTGGACCAGAGCTGTCTCCGCTTGCCATTTCCATACATCTGCCTTTGCCCACTACAGTCTGCCCCCTCCTTGCAGTACTCCCTGACAGGGCTCTGGCCAAGGGCCCCGAATGGTGACACTTAGATCTTGATCTTCAGCCCAGAGCTTGCTCCTGAACTTCAGAACTGTATATCCAACTGCTTCCTCGATGGTTGCACAAAGGGGCTAAGAAAGGCTTTCCAGAGGTGGTGACACCATAGAAGCAGGGGGCTTGGAGGGTGTCCGGTCAGAGGCCACCCTCTATGCATGCCTGGGTCCTAGCACACGCGCACCACTAGTCCGTGTTTCTGTCTGTCTCCTCCACCAGAAATGATGGCCCAAGACCCAGACCTGAGGTCTTACTCCTGTCCAGTCCCCAGCACAGGGCCTGGCACATAATTAGGCCCTCAGTGAATGCTTATGGGACCGAACCAAAGAGCCACAAGTGGCCGGCCGTTCTCACGGTCCATTTCCTGCAGTTCCCCGGTCGACCTGTGCTTCCCCCGCGGTGAGGCGGGCAGGCTGCAGCACCAGGCATGCCGTCCTCGTGCACCCACCATGCCGATGAAGGTCAGTGGTTTTGAAATCAAAGTCAGCTGCAGCCTCGACTCAAAGGAGAACATGGCTCGCTGGAAAGACGTTTTATGTAAGAAAAGAGGAAAAAATAGTTTCTCCCTCCTGGGGCCTGCGCCACAGTACGGTTTTGGTGTCAGCTATTACCCAAATGCTCTCAACCTACATCGAAGCATGGGGTGCCATCATGGGACACTAATGGATTTTCTATTAAATATCAGGTTCTTCAAGGAGGAAAAACTGGGGCAGGGAGAGTGCTGGCGAGAACCTGGGAGCTGACTGTTGAAAACCAATGGGGGGAGGGGGTCCACAGACGGCCTTGATCTTCCTGAGGCAGTCTTTTTTGGGATTTGCTTTCAGCTTTTGGAGGTGCTTGGTGAGCTCTAACCAGAATCCACCACTTCCCACTCCCTTTTGTCAGAGAACGCATCATAGCTGGCCTGGGGAGCGATTCCCCCCTTGGCTGTTCGCCACCGTGGCCCTGCTTCTTGGCCAGATCTGCATGTCCACCTTGCCCTTCTAGGGGCTCTGACCATGTCCCCTTCCAACTCTCCAGGGATTGGATGGAGTCTGGGACAGGCCTCTGGTCCCAGAGCAGGTCATCTGGAATAATAGCAGACATTGCTAGTAGCTACAGGCTGGATGTTTGTGTTCCTCCTCAAATTCATATGTCAACAACTGATGTCCAATATGATGGCGTTAGGAGGTGAGGCCTTTGGGAGGCGATTAGGTCATGAGAGAGTGGGGCCCTCATGAACGGGATCAGTGCCCTTATGAAAGAGACCCCAGAGAGCTCCCTCCCCCCTTCAGCCCTGTGAGGACACAGCGGGAAGTCTGCAACCCAGAAGAGGGCCCTCGCTCCACCACACTGGCATCCTGAGCTCAGACTTCTGGCCTCCAGAGCTGTGAGAAATAAGTTCCTGTTGTTTATAAGCCGTCCACTCTGTAGTATCTTGTTCCAGAAGCTGGAACGGATTGAGACACTAGTCCTCAGCAATATTTCTAGCTCTGCCCTCCTTCCTGGACCACAGAAGACTGTTTCCCAGCACCCTTTGGGAGCAGCAGTGTGCCTAGTTCTGGCCAAAGCCTTGAGTGAAGGGGCAATAGTTAGCTCCCTGTAGTCCTTAAGAGCTGATACACAATTTCCCATGCTCTCTTCCTTTTCTACAGGGAATCCCGAAGCTTCACGTTGAGATGGGGGAGTCTGGAATGCTGAGACATCATGTCGAGATCAGCTACCCTGGAGAGTTGCCTGGATCCTTAGTGGACTTTGGGTAGAAAAATAAACTATTGTGTGTGCAAAGGCACTAAGATGTTTGATATTTGTCATAACAGCAAAGCTTATTCTTGGCATAGAAAGAAAGCTGCATCTTTTGAGGATCTGGACACTAGTGACCTGGGGAGGCCAGGGCTGAGTCCTGTGTGTATGTGTGAGTGACTGCATGTACCTAGCTACAAAGGCTGGCCTGCTCGGGGGCATGGGGCTGAAAGGCTCAAGCTGGGGTCTTGCCCAGACAAGGATCATGCATGGTGCATGGTGCATGGTGGGGGTGAGCCTCCAGAGGGGGAGTCGGTTTAGAAAGAGCGAGGACCAGACCAAGTTTGGGCGCTGGACGAGGCCAGGGAGGTGGGAATCTGACACCTGGGCAGTGGGCTGGGAGCCATTCCTGCAATAGCCAAACTCCAGCAGGACTTCCCAGTCCCCTGACCCCCCAAATTACACAGCCAAGCCCTGCCAAGAGCATGGACGACAAAGAAGAGTGTCTGTGAACTCGTGTCCCAGTCACCAACCAGATACTGAGTTTCTAGGATGTTGGGCTTGGCATCCACGTGGAACCCGAACCCTAGGCAGGGAGAGGTAGGTGTCTGGGCTCGAGACCATTTGCAGTCTCCTTTGTTGCTCTGTTCCAGTCTCAGCCAAATAAAGCCCTGCCCACACGAGCCCCGCCCACGATGGCCCCGCCCATGCCCCTTCCACAGGGGCCCCGCCCCGCCCTGCGCCCTACCTTGCGGCTGAACTCCTGGGCCTTGCGCCTGCGCTCTCCGTGCACGGCGTCCGGGCGTTTGCGGCCAGCCAGGCGCAGCAGCTCGCGGCCCAGCGAGAGGCCGCGGCCGCAGCGCAGGGGCCGCAGGGCCGTGATCTGGAGTGCGGGGCCGGGTCCTGCGCCGGGGCCGCCGTCGGGGCCCGGGAGCACCCCGAGGCTGGGCGGCACGCGCGGGCAGCTCCGGGCCAGGCGCACGAGGCGCTCGCGGCTCAGGCCGCCCACAGCCAGCCCCTCCACCTCGAGGATCTGGTCCCCTGGCCGCAGACCTCCGGCGTGCGCGCTGCTCCCTTCGGCCACCTCCAGGACGAAGCAGGGGCCCGAGCCGCCCAGCTGGAAGCCGAAGTCCTCAGGCCAGCCCTGGTTGGTGGCCGGCATGGCAGTGGTGCCGATGCTGCTGGAGAGGAAGAAAGGCCGCACAGGGGATTGTTTGCAGCCCTGTTTGCGGGGCTGTATGCTGCTCAAAGGCCATGGGCCAATAAGGGCCTCTACTTCTCTCTGCCTCCATATGGAGGGTCCCTTCTTACAATATTGTCTGAACTCCTGGATCCAGCTGTGCCTGAAATTCACCAACTTCCGTGTGACAAAAGGACTTCCCAGTGCCGTGAGCTCACAAATTCCTGCTGACTTTTGTGGGTATTTGCCCTTTGAGTTGTAAGACTCTCCTTGACCTCCTTGAGGAAGCATGGTGTGGCTGATTTGGGGTTTCTGGACTCCTGGTTCTAGGATAGGCCCCCCGGGAGGTGGGGGAGGAGATGCCTCTGTCCTCTAAAAGAGGCCAATTGTGTGGGCTGATGAGGTGGGCAGGAGGCACAAAGACAACCTGGGGAGGGGAGGACGTCTGTTCTGGATGGAACAGTCTATGTGTGTGTGTGTGTGTGTGTGTGTGTGTGTGTGTGTGTGTGTGTTTAGAGCAGAGATTCCTCACAGGAGTCCATGGATGGCCTCTGAAATTGCACGCAATACATGGTGCAAGGCTTCGATTTCTGAGGGAGAGTCCGTAGTTCTGAGGATTTCCCGACCCTGGCCTGGAAGAACCTCTGAGGGCTGGATTTTGAAGGCCCGGGTCTGGGGTGCCCCTCAGCCTTCCTCAGATGCTTGGAGACCTGTGCCCATAGGAGTCCTCCTCCTTTTGGCTCCCTCTCCCCAGAACTGGCCTCTCCCAGGAGCCCTGAGGAGCACTTGGACCTGGGCAGTTGGGATGGGGGGAGACCCAGGGTTCCACAGCATCATGGACTGAGAGGAAATGCCCTTGAGTGACATCTGTGAGAACCTGTATCACCTGCCACCAGAGGGCATGGCGTGAGAACTCCTCACCCTGGGTGGAGGCTGTCACACCCCGAGGCTGGCAGGGGCCACCCCAGGGGCCCTCGTCCTCCTCTGCCAGGCAGTGGTGGACTGGGCATGGAGCCCCAGAGACGCTTCCTCTGTCACTTGGTGGCAGCCCCAGACTCCTGGGTCCACTGGGCCACGCAGGGTGGGAGCATCACCATGTCTTGGAGGGGCTTGTACCACGAGAGAAGCAGTGAGCTCCTCTACCATCAAAGAGGGGCTGGCTGGAAACTCTGAATTTGGGGCCAGGGCACACGCTGCCCCTCCACATGCAGACCTCTTCTGTCCAGCACACCTGTGGCAGGGCTGCCTGGCCGAGGCCAGAGCAGGCAACTCCTAACACCTTCATATCCAACCTGCAGAGGCCACACGGCCAAAGATGCTGCCAGCACTCAGACGCCCTGAGCTTTTGAACCACGTCAAGCACACCAGTGCATCCCCAGCCCTGCAGACCGACCCACGCCTCTCCTACCCACCTATCCAGAGCTCCCAGTCTGGGCCACTCTCTCCTGTCTCACCTTCACCTGGAAACAGGAATCCAGCCTCCTGACAAGGCTGACTGGGCTATCTCTGGGCCTGAGAGGGAGGCATCCCAGGGCCCCCCATCCCAGAATGCTGGGTGCCACCCACCCCCCAGGTATGCTCACCTTCCTCACTGGTGACTGCAGTGGCTGTGATGACAGAGCACTGCGCTTGTGGAATGCCTGGGGACACTTGCTTGCTGCCGGCCCTCTGCTGCTGTGGGCCTTGGCATCGGTTACTGATGCGCCCGAGGTGACAGCTGGAGTTTCTAAGGCAAAGTGATCCTGTGAGTAATCTGAGAAGGCCTCAGTTACCAGGTAGACCAGGAGGATGACTGGACAGCTTGGCCAGGACCCAGAGTGGCCAGCCCCCGTTGCATGGTCCTGGGGGGCGAGCAGTGGCCCTCAGGCAGAAGCAAAGGCTGACTGGAGCTGGGCATTGGGCCGTGTCCACCCACGAGGTCATAGAGCTTAGCAGCTGGGTGGAGAGGATTCAGCTGGGTTGTTCGGGGATGGGGGTGTCACTCAGTCCAGTGATGGCAAAGGGGACTGATGAGACTCATTAGGGCATGCGGTCCAGGCCCCACAGAGAATATCACTGCTGGAGCCCCACAAGCCAGGTTTATTGGCAGAAGAAGGGAAGACCCAGGCCAGGAAAAAAGGTTTGGGTGGGAGAAAAGCTGCTGACCTAAGTAATTTTGGAAATGAGTGGAGTCTGTAAAGCTAAAGGCAAAAGGGACTGTACATAGCGCTGTGCTCTAGTTGGTCAAGTTGTTTCCCCTGGGGGTACAGGTTGACAATTCTGAAATCACACGCTTCATGTGTACTGGAATCAACAGTTATCATGGGAGCCAGGTTTCTCTCTGTTGGAGTGGGAGGTCAGACAAGCAAAGGGGGAAAGCTGGAATGATCCATGTCGTACTGGATTCGAGTTGGGGACATCAGTATGAACTCGTGTTTAGCTTACTATAGCTGCGGATGGCTACATATAGAAATATTTATAGATATGTTTATATATGGGTTAGTATATGCCCATATTTGCTTGCTCTGTCAGCTGAGAGGACCTAGAAACAAAAACATCCCAGCAGCAATTGAATGAGCACATTCAATGCCAGTTCTTGATTTCTGATATCATTCCCCCACTAAAAGGAGCCCGGGCTCCTTGGAGAAGTGACTAATTATAGGGCTGGGGCAGGAAACATACAAGATGAGCCTGGAGCATCTTCTAGTGCCAGAGAACAAGGAAGTGCTAAATGCACACACGCACACACACACACACAGGATGGGGTTTGTCAAAGGGACACAGAAGCCAAGTGAAAGTGCTCCCAGTGGCCAATGCTGGAAAATTTGAGCAACATTAAATAACAGAATATTGACTTATAACCCAAAGTATTGACTTATAACCCAAGTCCATACTGATATAAACAGATGATTGAGTAAATAAATAAATGGAGGAAAGAGACAAATCTCCCATGCAGAGGAACTCCGAATAATTTATGTAGCTACTTCTCCTTAAGGAGGTAGAGTGTAACTCCCCACCCTCAAGTGTGGGCTGTGTATAGTGACTTCCTTCCAAAGGGGACAGTCTGAAGGGGTGGGGGAGAGAGTAACTTTACCGTGGAGAACCCTGATGAACACCATCTCAGTCCGGTGGTCAAGGTCAACAGCAAAAGGGGCAAATCGGCTTGATAGCATGTCCCCTTTATTTGACGTGATGAGAAAGTCACTTTGCTTCGTCGGCCTTCCTCCCCAAAACCCATAACCAGTCTAACCATGAGAAAAACATGAGGCAAGCCCAAATTGAGGGGCATTCTGAAAATACCTGACTCTTTGAAACTGTCAAGGTCGTCGAAGACGAGGAAAGTCTGAGAAACTGTCACAGACTGGAGGAGCCTGAGGAGATAGGACGATGAGGTGTAGTGTGGAATTCTGGGACTGAGAAAGGACATTAGGTAAAAACTAAGGGAATCTGAATTAGCTAATAGTAATGGATCAACAGTAGTTCCTTAGTTGCGATCAATATACCCTAGTAATGTAAGATGGCGGCAATGGGGGACATTGGGTGCAGGGTAAAAGGGAACTCTGTACCATCTTTGCAACTTTTCAGCAAATCTAAAACTATTCTCAAATTAAACACTTATTTTTAAGTGGTCTTTTTGGGATTTTGGGCATGGGGATCACATCGATAAGAACATATTTTTAATAGGTCACCGTGATTGAGCTGGCTGTTTTCCCGAGTTTGCTTTACCCAAAGGTGCTCTGCAAGTTACCGTGTGCGTATGTGGGTGTGAGATAGGTGTGTCTAGATTGTCCTCTAGCCTCATGTACGTTATAAACTCTGCTAGGGAGCTTACAGTATATCCGCATTGAAAACAAATAATGGTGAGAGAAAAGAGTGTCCCCAGAGCATGGTAGATGAGTGACCGATGTTGTAATAGAGTGCATCTCAAGCACAGCTCCAAATGCTTAACAGGCTGCGTAATTGTTGTGCGTCGTGGTCATTAGACGTGGGCTGCGGCAATCACATGGGTGAATTGGCATGCTCTTTTGTCTTCTTGCATTAACAAACTGGAGTTTCTCTAGATGGTAAGAAACGGGGTTTCCTGACACTCCTGACGGGAACGTAAAATGGTACAGCCATTATCTTAAAAAGCTAAACACTCACTTATCATGCGACCCACCCCTCCCACTTCTAGGTATTTACCCAAGAGAAATGAAAGCATCTATGTCCACACAAAGACTTGCATGTGAATGTTTATGGCAGCACTATTCGCAATAGCCAACGACCGGGAACAACCTAAATATCCGTCTATTGGAGAGTGGATAAACAGATTGTGGTACGTTATACAATGGAATGCTGCTCAGGAATAAAAAGAAATGAACTCTTGACCCAGGCAACAACACGGGTGAACTGCAAAAGCATTATGCTAAGCGAAAGATGCCAGTAACCAAAGGCTCTAATGATTCCATTTATATGAAATTCTGTAATATGCACATTGATCTATGACGTCAGAAAGCAGATCAGTGATTTCTGGAGCCGAGGTAGAGGGAAGCATGAATTGCAAAGAAGCATGAGAAAACTTCTTGAGATGATGGAAAAGTCTGTGTTTTGATTGTGGTGGTAATTTTACAGGATATGCGTGTCAAAACGCATTGAATTGAACACCTTAAATGTACGCAGTTTATCATATATAAATTATACCTCAATAAAGTTGGTTTTTAAAACTTGAATTACTTGAGGGGTACACTCCTAAACCCTCTAACTTACAGAGGATGGGGAAAGTGATGCATACTGAGCCAGACCTGATCACGTGCCAGGCAATTGTCATGTATTTATCTCGTTTAATTATCACAACTCTCCCAAGAAAGTCAGAATTGTTAGCCCCAATTCACAGAGGAGAAAACAGAGCTTCAGAGAGATGAAGGGACTGGTCCAGGATCACATGAGCTCATGAGCAGCTGACGTGGTGTTTGACCGTCTCTGCCCTGCTCTCTCTGAGCTGTGAGGGGACTCAAGAATGCACATCACTGCACTCTGAGCCTGGATCCTTTCTCCATCCTCCAGTTTGCATCTTCTTTAAGGCTCTGCCCAGGACCTCCCTGTAGGCTCGAAATGTGTCCTGGGCATCTCCCGCCTGATCTCAGAAGGTCGAGCCAAGCCATGGGGATGCCAGCAGGTGGAGCAA